GGTGGATGATTTCGGTGGAGTTTTGTTCTCTGAGCTGGATGGTTTGGTCCAGCTCAGAGAACAAAACTCCACCAAAATACATCAAACTGTTTGACAACTGATCCGACATAAAATCTATTTTACAATTTGAATGAAGCTTTTATATTTTATGTTTATAACTTGAAACGACAAGCCGAATTAAAAGTTTTGTTCGAAGTAATCATTCCCTTGATGTAAGTTATATTCACTTGCTTTTGTTTTATTTGTCAAGTCACAAAACGGTTTAATTGTATTAAGTAGCACATCACTGTACATGATTTTCAGTGAGATAGAGACTGAATAAACTTTGAGTGTACTTTTTGATATGTTTTAATAATTAAACAATGTCCTGTTTATTCACGATTATTAGATTATGAAATATATACTAATTAATATAGTATATTCATACTAGTATGCATGTCACACTTGTGCCCTTGATTCTAGTTAATTACTAGGTAAACACAATTCACTTCAGATAATCAAAATCAAATTTCAGGTCTCATTGTGAGGCATCATTTGCCTGTTTTAATAAACTGGTATCTGTTAATGTTGACCATTATGTACATAAAACGAACATGCGTGTTGTACTGTGCACTTTCGTTTTCCTTGATAAAAATTTTATTTTTTGAGATAAATGGTTTAATTGAAAAGCTTCTATTGTCATTACAGAAAACATTAGTGCTTTTCTAAGATATAGTGACTTACAAATTTATTATATATTATGCCAGTCATCAGAATAACTACCGTGACATCGAATCCTCAAAGTACCTCCCATCTACATCGAGTTTGATAGAAATAGTCAAGTATAATTCTCAATATAGAATACAATAATTTAACGATATTTTATTGATACAAGTATCTGGTTGCATGTTAGTTACGTACAGATAAGCTAACTCAAATAAAAAGTATGAATATCAACTGAAGTGAAGGAAGTAAATATCTGATTATATAATAATTATTGCTTAATCCAAAACAACGTTTCTTTCAATCCTATTGATTTGTAAATTAACTTATTTCCTCCTCCTACAATTTGTCCTCCTTACTCGAATCAATTCATCGATCAATCAATTATTCGATCAGTGTAGAGATAAAATTGCGTCGTTCTTGAATTAATCAGTTGATTGTGACAGTAACAGGTAGAATTCAGGGAAGGATGCAATAAATCAGACTGAGTGGTTAATATTTGATTGATAACCATTTATTGCTTGAAACGGAGAGAGAACTACAGCAAATAAAATGAAATTTGCTAGTTTTGTAATTTAATGCTTAACCGAAAAAGGTAGTGATTAAACAAATATACCTGCTCGATAGGGAGAAACTACTGAAGAAAAAGAGAGTATAGATTTTAACTATCAGTTACAATTAATTTCAGCTTTACCAAGTTGAGAATATTACTCAATAGTTATTGGATGTCAGATAATATTGCCAATATATGTGGCCTCGCAAAGTAATGTTTCAACAGGACACGAGTTATACCGCTTGTTGTTTATATAGTCCAGGAAGCTAAACTTATGCATTACAATTATAATAAATGAATATTTTCAGAATGGGTTTTGTGGAGAGTTTTAGAAATTTCACAGGTTGAAATCATGAGTCAGTTGAGGCTAGACCACCATTAAAAACCTGGAACCACTGGACGGCCGTTTCGTCCTGGTATGGGACTCCTCAGCAGTGCGCATCCACGATCCCAGGTTTTCAGTGGTGGTCTAGATTCAACTGACTCATGATTTCAACCTGTGAAATGAATATTTGTCTATACTATATCTGATACAAGTCAAATTTTTCAAATCCTCAAAATGAAAGTAATTTTGCTTGGGAGATAGTGTTCATGAAAGATATGGTATGCAGAGATTCTATTCACTTCAAGATTTATAACTGATCTTCGTTTTTCTGCATATATAATCAAATCCTCAAGTAGTTTTACAAGCGTTCAAAAATATAGGTTTCAATATAGGAATTCTTTTTACCCAAATATTATATATTTTGAAACCGAGGGTTTCTCAGTAATGTTCAGCTAATTTATTCTTCTCAGTAAAAAAAACATGACAATTTTTATGGGTTAAGGATTTTCAATGATAAAAATCATTAGAAGTCACTCAACCCAAGAATATAATTGTCTTCATTTTAATAAATTTTTCATAATCGATTACATTTTCAATGGGTGTATTTTTATTAGCTGAACTGCAAGATCCTATTGGCTAAAAGTGAACGATAGACATTTGCCGAGACATTGAATGAAAAAAAATGCAGGCACTTTATAACTCATTCCTTCCTCAAGCACTAACTATAATCCCAGTCACATATGATACTCTACTTCTTTTCTATGTAATCGTTTGACAATGTGGAACTAAATAAACATATATGTTAACTTATACTGGCTAGATGACAAAAATACTCAAAACACCTTGTCAATTTACCAGAGATTACATAATTGACAATATATATATATACTCTTTTTCTTCAGTAGTTTCTCAATATCGAGCAGGTATATTTATTTACTAACTACCTTTTTCAGTTAAGCATTAAATTATAAAACTAGCAAATTTCATTTTATTTGCTGTAGTTCTCTCTCCGCTCTAAGCAATAAATGGTTATCAATCAAATATTAACCACTCAGTCTGATTTATTGCATCCTTCCCTGAATTCTGCCTGTCAATTTAACAGAGATTACATAACTAACTAACTAACTAACTAACTAACTATATATATATATATATATATATATATATATATATATATATATATATATATATATATATATATCATATTTTTCATAAATGTAGGCCAGTATTAAATAGTGATATATACATAATTTTTTTTAAATTTTAAAATGTAGCTTTATTGGTACCTTTTTAAAAGTCAGAAAAAAGTTATAACTTTTTCATAGACTATGTTCAACTAGGTTCACTTTCTTAGATCTATTTTAATGGCAGGCATTGAATGGAGAAAGATGTGTTCATATGACACAGTAATGTAGTAATATACATATAAATTTTAAAGAAATTAGTCCCTTCGATAAATTTCGATATTATAAGAAGAAGACTAAGATTATCAGAACTATGTTTCAACTAAGATACTAAGCAACAAGATAAATTATTAAAACATCCCACTCATATCTTAAAAAAAATCAATATTTTCATAAAAATGTAATCAGTTTAAAGTAAACATTATGAACATGCTAAACGTATGTCAGAATTTAGTAGTGAGTAAAGAGCTTCAAATATTTTCCAAATTGAACAATATATATTACTCATATAAAATGCTGAAATACCATAATAACTTAATTGAAGGGTTATATTATATTTATTGGCAATTCAAATTGAATTTGAGAATATGGTACCTGTGCATAATAATTGTCATCATTTATGGACAATGTTCTTTACAGGTAAATCTTCAAAATAAACAATATACATAGAAAAACTCATTATTTATTCAGGACATGTACATCATTTCTTCGTTGTTTCAAGAAATACTTTATTTTAAATTGATTCGAGACTAAATAACAAATAAGGTTACGTACTAATCAAGGGGTATTTCTTTATCTGTTTTATTGGGAATCATGAATTGAGTATACTAATGAGCATGATATAAATATTAAACATTTTCAAATATTTGTCGAAATATTAAGAATATATATTAAGGGTATGAAGATTAAGAGAGAATAATGTATACCGAGAATTCCGTGTTGTACTAAATATATCATACTGGATAAAATGATTATTATTATTATTATTTTGATAGAACAATGAGAAGGAGTTGATCTGAAAAATGTGATATATTTGCGCTATACATTTAGAACAATTTGGTCATACATATACTTGTTTGGGCATTTTATATGAAGATTAATAAAGGTCAATTAGATAAAAGTTCAAATAAAAAAGTAACAAAGAGGAGAGAAACAATTTTACATCGTATAGAAAGAATAAAAAATTGTCGCGTTATCCTAGGTCATAGAATAACATAAGGTTTACCAAGGTAAATTCAAGGTTACGACAAATTGTTTTTGTATACATAAGGGGGGTTTAAATTTACGAATAGCCAAGGCCTCAATAAACTTGAGTATTCGTCCTTGACAACTTCTATACAACGTTTCGAAAGCTGTATTATTGTCAATTTCGTGCCTCATTTCAGTTATTTACTTTGCTATCGATGAACCTGGTTTTCTAACTCCCACTTTGATCAGATCATTTGACATACATTGATTTATTAGAAGGGGTTTGTGGAGATTTTTTTTAGAAATTTTCACAGATTTAAATCATGAGTCAGTTGAAGCTAGACCACCATTGAAAACCTGGAAGAACTGGACGGCCGTTTCGTCCTAGCATGGGACTGACTTCAAGAGATACTCCTGGAGTTCTAGTGGGAAGCCGTTACCAGTGGAGTTCAACCAGGTCTGTTGTGAGATATCAGCTCACTGAAGACAATGGTATATGGTGGCGCAACTTGGTGGATTGGTTGAAGTTAGACATTAACACCGTTGGATGCCGGCTCAGTAGTCTAATGGTTAAGTGCTCACGCGCGAAGCCACTAGGTCCTGGGTTCGAGCCCTGCGAGGTGCGGGATCGTGGATGCGCGCTGCTGAAGAGTCCCATACTAGGACGAAACAGCCGTCCAGTGCTTCCAGGTTTTCAATGGTGATCTGGCTTCAACTGACTCATGATTTAAATACATTGATTTAATTGACTATTATTAATTTTCATATAAAATGCTTCGACGAGTATATGTGTAACCAGATTGTTCGAAATGTATAGCGCAACTACATCACATTTTTCGGATCAACTCCGTCTTCTCATTGTTCTATCGAAATTTATAAATCGAACTAATTGCTTTATATTATTATTATTATTATGTTTAGAAAGATACTTCCTAATGTATGCCTTATAGTGTTATTTATAATATTCAGAGTTAATACAGAGTTAATATTACAATTTAACAGTCACCAATCATTCATATTTTAAGTTTAATCACAATAGATGGAATGCAAAAAAAATTTCTCTATTTATTTGTTTAAATTACTCACAACTCATGTCAATCATTTATGAAAGACACTTAAGTTAAGGTTACGCCCATGTAAATGAGAAAAATTTCATTGTATATTACTAATAAAGTGGAGAAAACTTTGTGTGTGTTTTATTTTGTTCATTAGTTCGAAGAGAAAATGTAAAATGATTTAGTAAGTGAGAAAAAAAATTAATTCTGTGTACGAATGAACAAAATAATGTAACATAAATCTATGAAAAAGAAAGAAAGAAAAACACGATAGTAACAAATACAGTAAAAGATGGAATCTATTAATAACTTATCACTTAGTATTGTAGTGTGAGCTACTTATATTGATATAAGTAGTATATAACGTGCGTTAAAGGAACGTAATGTCTGGCAGCGGAAGATGGCGAAGATCAAGAAAGGTAGAGCGAGAACACATTGGAATTTGTAAGAAAATGCATGAACAATCGAATGGGAGACAATGGATTGGTGTTTGCAACAGAAACAGTCCAGTTTGAATTGATGCATGAATATTTTGCAAATTGACGATTGACTATATGGTATTCAGATTTTGTTGAGATAGACTGTAATTGTTGTGCTAAATACATCCGTTTATCCCCACCCGTGTTCTTGTTCACTACAAATATATTTATTTTAATCTTTCATTTATAATTACTATGCTTTATATAGAAAGATAATAACCTAACATATAGTCTAGTTTTAATATTCTGAATATTATTTCTTTTAATTAGAGCTTTTTATTCAGAAAGAGAATATGAATTAAACTGTAGGTATCATTACCAAGGTTTGACTTGATAATTGCGAATGAATTGAGTATTGAGTAGCTTGTTATAAATAAAATAATATATTTGTAATATCCCAGTGAGTAGATAAATTAGATTTTCTGACGTTTCGTGAATCAATGTAAGTCACTTCTTCAAAGAATAAATAACCAGTTCAAAAGTCTAAATAGTACGACGGAACAACACAATAATATTCATGTGATCAATCAATGTCATGTCATTTCGGTCAAGGTGATCCACAAACGACATGTATGTAAAGTTGTGTGTGTGTATGTGTGCACGATTAAGGATGAAAAATGTATGAAGTTTATAGTGAGATATGATAGAGTTCAATTTGTATGTAAGTTAATAGTGTGAATTGTGAATAATATGAGACTAGGTGGTTCAGATAGATCGTTCAAGTAGGATGTATGGTAAGGCCTTGTATTTTATTGAGAGCAGTATTATTAGGGATTATATGGAATGCTTCAGCTACTCTCTTTTCTTTATAATTGGAGAAGCTGTTTTGTAATATTTGAATATTTTTGAAATGTATTTGGTGGTTGTTGAGAATGGCGTGAACTACTATTGTCTATTTTATTCGAAGTTTATCCAATTCTCCGAGACTATTGGGAGGTTTCTTTGCATAAGTAAGTTGTATACAGCACATGTTCTTTCATTATATTAGTTGTTCAAAGATTTAACAGTTTATTGAAGTCACGATGACTAATCTTAATGGTAAAAATCAATTGTTGATGGGATAGTATTTAAAAACGCCCTAAATTTCAATGCTGACTAAAATACAGTAGTTGTTTTCTAATTTCAGGTCATTTTTCTAAGGTCATATAGTAAGAAAATAAATGTTTGTTTGAAACATAAGTGATTCTTATTTGTAAATATGAGAAATGTGAATTCTCTAAAAGTCACAATAACAAAGAAAAGATATAAATAAAAGAACAATAATTAGTGCATAACAAATAACTGAACAGTGTTTTTCTTTTTTGTTATTGTTGGTTTAATACGGTTCAATGAATTATGTTGTCTAGTTTAGTTTTTCTCTTTCATTTACATAGTGAAGTAAATAGTGACATATTAATAACATAAACTGAATCAGTCTCAACACAGTTGTTCTGTAAATTAGAAATAGATATGTAAAATGAATCCATGGTTGTAATTTAACAGATTAAGTTGTATATTTAGTACAACTTTAGTCAACATTCTTCATAAGGTCAAGTATACAAATGAGTCTGAGTGTGATATTTTTCATATATTCTCCAAGCTTATAAAGAAAAGCCTTTGTATCAGTCATAACACCGTTAGTATCAATCAATGTACATAAGAAATAAAATATAAAAGGAGATAAAATGATGGAAAGTTAGGAATGAATCAATTGTAGTACTGTAACTGGTTTCGCTCTATGTCATCTGGTGTATTCAACCATCGATTACTTGTATTATTTTTAGTCTGAAAAATAAACTCAGATATTGGACTAAGAGTCGGTGAATTCAACAACTAATTTCACTATTTTATTTCTGAGCTACCTTCTACGTATTTGAGTAACCTTTGTCCAAACCATTTCACCTGATGACATTTAATGTCCTTATTAAAAAATTTGTTTTTTATTCCACCTAATATTCAGAGAATAACTTTGGAATTACTCAGTTAGTAACCTCACTATGTGAAGGCAATACTTCAAGTACATGTAGTATGAAATAATTTCAACCTACCAATTCTTTGAAATTTTTGTAGCCTATTTTTTGGCAGTCTTTGAGTGATACAGCGGAATACTGAAGAGCGAATCCAGACCTTGTTTCAGAGATGAACATTTTGACTGTGATATAAGTAGTTTTAAGAGAAGTGAGGTAATAGCCCCTCCATTGATTTACTTCATTTGAACAAAGTTGTCATTGAAACAGATCAGTATTGATGATACAACCGAGAAGAGGTAGAACTATTCAAAACAAGATACCATCGTCACACAAAGCCTTCAGCTAACTAATCACGTTGAAGGCGTTCTAGCCGAACAAAACTATGTCACCTGAATACTTTAAGTTATTAAATTAGTCTCCTGGTAAGATCATAACAACGGATCTCAAGGAACAACTGTTTGAGGAAAATTGAACAGCTCAACTTTATTTTAACAATATTTGTAGAGCAACTTCTAAACATCCTACATCCGGCAACATAAATCCATAAGCCAAACTAAATTTCAATTTGATGGACAATCTTCACAACTTCTGTCGCTAAGAGAAGACAGAATATTTGGAGACAATAGTTAAACATGATCGCACCCTACTACGTCAGTGTGGTCGACAGTGTAACTTTGATCTCGAACCTTTACTACTTTTGGTTTTATAGTAATTTACCCTAACGTTTTGAAACGGTAGATTCTCATAGAAAAAGTAACTCAGTCAATCTGTTAAGACAAGTAAGCATGATTATCGCTTAAACGTACCCGTTACTAATACGAAATGAAAGATATACGTACTAAGAATTCAGAATTTAAAATGAAAATGAATTCAAAGAAACAAAGACGAAATCTGAAGTCCGAGTTGTTGCATCAAAAGTAGTTAACTAATTTGCGAGTTAGAGATTTATATTTCTAAAACCTTCAAAGAAAAAAAATTGATTTTTATGTTGAAGTAAAATGAAGAAATCCGTTTCATAGTTTAGCTGAAATTCAACTTATAAACTTACATTTTGAACTATGAATGTAAATGTAGACTTAATTATTACAAACACGATAGTTTACTGTTTTTATTATGAAATAAATACAGTCATAAACTGCCAAATATGCTTTTTTTTCTTAATATGCTGAAGAGATATTCATCATAAAGAAATAAAAGAGCTTAAATAATGTGTTCTAATAAACTATACTTGATCATTTAAATACAGTTGGTAACTTTTGTCGGAGTTTTGTTCTCTGACCTGGATGGTTTGGTCATAGAGCTTTCATGGCTCTTCTGAACGACATCATCAGCACAAACTTCAGGTAGATAGACTTCTATCTGAATTTTGAGTTGGTGATGTCGTTCAGAAGAACCATGAAAGCTCTATGACCAAACCATCCACCTCAGAGAACAAAACTCCATCAAAATCATCCACCTGAGCTACAAATCTTCTCAACCATCACAGTTGGTAACATAATAATCGCTCTGTTATGAGACGGAATAAGTACAGGTTCAATATATATAAAAGAGATTATTAATTTTTTCAATCAAATCGAAACATTTTTCTAACAAAATATACGTATACAATAAGGGAAAAAGATTTAGAAAAAAAAGTAAACTGTCAATTAAATTTTACAGTAGTATTACAGTTTATTGTGTGTTAAATTATGATTAGGTTCAGGGCAAGTTAAAGTGTCTTAATCCTAGAATAAAATTCCATTCTGTTTTTTAAAAAACCCAATTATTTCATATAACAACAATGACTAATCAATCTTTTTAATTCGGAAACCGAATTCATTTTCATAAATTCATTCTTCATGAATTATCAGCTGAATTGTTTTCGTATAAAACATTAATCGTGGTTATAATTGACTTATTAAGGCAATTGAATAGTTGAATGTTTTGTTAATTATGAATTATTTTAATTGTTGAATTCATGAGTCGCTCTTAGCTATATAGCCAGTGAAAATCTGGAAGCATTGAGCGGACGTTTGGTTCTAATATGGAACTCTCCAGCAATGTGAATCCACGATCCCCCACCAAGGACTTTCGGTCTCGCTCACGAACTTTTAACCTCTAAATCCATAAGCCGGCATCAAATGGTGATAATGTCTAACTTCCATTGATCCATGATCTTACGCAACTGTACATTGATTGTCTAAAGTGGATAACAGTCTCCATCCGAAACGGATTGGACTCCGCTAGAGTTCAAGTGAGAAACCGTGACCACAATCTCTACAAATACCCATTATGATTATGACTTGTCCACGTAGATATTTGCGAGTTCATTGTGAACACAGATTTAGCATCTAATAATTTATTATGGCTTTGCATGTGCATATTGGTTTGTATTACACCATTTATATAAAAAAAACTTAGTGATAAACTTTCATCACGGTGTTTGAGTACCGTTATTTAACAACGATATCACGTGTCTATGCTGAACATTTTTTGGAAAAACTAAGTAATTGAAAAACCTGTTACAGTATAAAGAAAATAAGTTTTTGAAAAGATTCATTACACTCATGAGTATTCTAGGATTATGAAATGAATTGGGTGTGCGAAAAAACCTTGTGTATTTATACCGTTCTATACACTAGACGGTTAGAGGTTAGTTATTTTTCATGACCAGTGTTTTGTGATTAATAGATTTACTAAGTAGGCTATAATCAAACAAATTAGAATGTCAGAAAGGGTTTTGTGGAGATTTTAGAAATTCCACAGGTTGAAAATATGAGTCAATTGAAGCTAGACCACCATGCAAAACATGGAAGCACTGGATGGCCGTTTCTTCCTAGTATGGGACTCCTCAGCAGTGCGCACCTCGCAATATTTGAACCCAGGACCTAACAGTCTCGCGCCAGGCGCTTAACCGACTAGACCACTGAGCCGGCATTCAACGGTGTTAATGTCTAAATTCAACCAATCCACGAAGTAACGCCACCGTACACCATTGTCTCCAGTGAGTTGATATCTCACAACAGACCTGGTTGAACTCCATTGGTAACGGCTTCTCACTAGAACTGCAGGAGTATCTCTTGAAGTCAGTCACTAGTGAGCAGTTGAAGTTAGACATTAACACTGTTGGATGCCGGCTCAGTGGTGTAGTTGGTTAAGCGCCTGGCGCGAAACTGATAGGTACTGGGTTCAAATCTCGAGATGGGGGCGGGATCGTGGATGTGCAATGCTGAGGAGTCCCATACTAGGAAGAAACAGCCATCCAGTGCTTCCAGGTTTTGCATGGTGGTCTAGCTTCAATTGACTCATGATTTCAATCAATAAAACTAGAATGTGTATACATAAGTATATATGTTGACGGCAATTGTATCTTTTACGACTGACTGACATCATAAGGTCTATTTTATGTATGTGTAAACTGTTATTTTAATAATTTTTAAAATTTCTAAGAAACACAACTGACTAAGCTTATCAAAACTATCATTATTTTAAGTCTATGGCTATCAATATAAGTGGACAAGAATGGCATGTTACAAAGTGAAACCAATCATTTTATTTTCATTTCTTCATTGTACAGTCTACTGATTATGGAACACAAAATGGAACTTGTAAATGTTCTACTAGTTCAAAAGTTTTAATTAAAAAGATCAACTATTAATTCACCATAACTATACAAATATGAATTATGTTAACTAGGTATCACCATATTCTAAAATAAATCATTAAATCACAGTGAATAATTATCTGCTTCTATAGATTGTAAAGGTTTGTTGTTATTATTCAAGGTGGAAATCTTATCCTTCTTAAAACATTATGGTTAAAAATCCTAACTACTATGTATTAAACTTTAGAAAGATTCAAACAAAATTCATTTACATTCTTTCAGTCCTAATTATCATAAAAAAACATATTCGGTTACAATTTTAGTTTGTTTCTGTTGTCCAATTTATTCCGTTTTTAATGGATCAGTTTTCATTTAATATCTCACTAGTCAAACTAACAATCCAAATGATGTCATTTTTATCTTATCTATACATATTGTAATTATTTTAGAGTCTACTCTAAACTGTTGACAAATAACTGAACCAATATATATATATATATATATATATATATATATATATATATATATATATATATATATATATATATATATATATATATATATATATATATATATTCAGAACAAAATTACAGTTCACTTATCAAATTAGTTTCCTGTCTATTATCCATGTATTCAATGAAAATTGTTAGGGTATATTCACTTTGACAATATAATGTCTATCTC